ATGATTTTTAACTTTAACCGTTGCAGTCTATCAGTCGTATAATGCATGGTAATGGTAACAAAATCTATGAGAGTAAAAAAAACATGCACAGACAAATCCAAATTAAACCCTGCGGCTCGTGACGACACATTGATGTCCTAAGACACGAAACGATCGGTTTGTGCGAGAAACCGAACAGTATTTATATCATATTTTACCTCTAATACACCACTATGTCCAACTGTCTTTGAGCCCGCTCACGGCATCTGATGCGTGAGGTGTGTACGTGCTCTGGCGTAGTTTACGTTAATGGCTGTGTTGATATCCAGCCGAAGAGCAATCAAGCATAACTTCAGGCGAGCAGGCTCAGAAGTTGGGAATACGTGGAAAGTCACCACTCCCGAATGAGTTCGCGTGAGAGAACGTAATCTTTTAGTTTTAAGTCAGTTTGAACAATCCGGATAAGCACAAGTAAGTACCATTTTGATTAGCCGTCGTACCTACAATGTTTGTGCACTGTGTAAACAATGAGTGACGTATACGCGCGAGAGATCACTTCCGGCACTTGCGTAAACTACGCCAGAGCGCGTACACACCTCACGCACCGGATGCCGTGCAAAAATTTTTGGGTGAACTATCCCTTTAAGGGCACAGCTATTATCTGTATTTAGAGTTAATAGCAGTTTTTGCTTCTGGGATAAATTACACGTTGCTACTTGGTGCTGTGTGTAGGTTTGTCAGTTTGTGTTTCACCAGACTTTGGCTGTCCTGTATCATGTTTTTTGCTGCAATATGCCTATAAAAGGGAAACCAGCACTGTGGGGTTTTCATTACAATGTTTGTGCTGAGCAATCTGTCCTTGTAACATCTCAACATTTGTTAAGCGTTGCATGCATGTTGTGTTGTTCGTATGTGTGCAATATTAAGTTTCCGTTGCTCTTAATTTCCCAGGTGACCGTAAGTGGGCTGTGCATGTATGACTGATGGACAGGAGTCTGAACCAATCACAGGACAATGCTGGCACGAAGCCGTTTCATGCTGGTGCTGGTGGTGGGTGCCCTGCTGGCGGTGCTGAGTTTCAGCCTGCAGTACTGTAAGTGTGAAACACAATGTATGATTTCAGTCACATTTCCTCTGTATGAAATTACAGCTATTCATGCATCCTCTAAGTTTTCTCCGGGGACTGCTTTGTATGTGTGTTTAGCATGTCAGGTGGGAATATAACCTCCGCTGAATTGTATTTACATTCTTAGTATGTGCCTGAGTGTGGGTTTTATGTCCAGTGGGAATATGGTCTCAATTAGACTGCATTCAACACACTGAACAAAGGCATTTCCCTTGAAGATATGATATATATATATATATATATATATATATATATATATATATATATATATATATATAAATGATTGTAATTAGTATATATCATATATTGTATATATTGTGTATATTATTATAATTTACATTGTATTATTATAAATTAAATTGTAATTTATATATATTATTGTACAAATTATTATACAAATTGTTATTTTGTCTCACAGAAACATTTGACACTCAATAGTTGGTTGAGTTGGGATGCAGATGCAAATTTAGTTACAAAAATATCATTTGTCAATTCAGTGGTGCAGGTAATTTTTTCTGTACTTCGTGGTTCAATAGGTAATTCCCAGATTAGACCCCAATGTCCCACGTCCTTGACTGAAAATCCTCTTTCGCAGATGACTGCGGTTATTTGTATCTGAGAAACCAGCCCTGCGTATATAAGCAGATTAAACGTTTCATGTCACAGTGACAGCTAACGGAAAATCCCGCTACTTTAGTCGTTTAAAAGCACAGATGGTAAGAATTTGCAAAGCTAACTCGAATGAAACCAAACTTGACATTTTTTTTGACCAGGTGAGCAGGGATTGGTCAGTGATCATTTTAATACCCGCCCTCTGCATCCCACAGCCAATCACAGTTCAGTCTGAGCAACAGGCCAACATAAGAGAACCACATTTTTGTTGTGTTCAGGCATGCACGTGTGTTTGGTGATAGTAAAGAGTTGACCTTTGACCTGGTTTACCGTCTCTCTCTGTACTTAAAACATTTCACTCAGCTTCAGAAAATAGCATCCGTTTACACACTTGGTTTGTAATCTAATGCAATAACACTTTAAGTGTCTTAAATGCCTAAATGCATGTGTATTTTTGCTGAATCTGATTGTCATCCATACTGTCTTCCTCACGTTGCCTGTTTCTTTTACCCTGTGTGAGGTCATTACTAATTCATTCCTTCCTTTGTGATGTCTCCAACCAGAGCTGAAAGCTGTCTGAATGTAGGACAGAACAGAGTCTTAAATTAGCCGACCTCTCTTCCTCTCGCTCTTTACTTCAGTTCACTCAAGCATGACTGATGTAGTTTTAAAGAAAGAGGCTCAAAGTCTGAGAGTGAGAGAAGGAGGCCATACATTGAGAACGTGAAAGATGAAAAATGACCCATTCGCATCCCATGAAATGTGGGTTACTGTCAGCATTGCTTCATTCCTGGAGTACACACTGCCAACAACACACACGATATCAGCCCGACGGCCTTGAACGGCACTGTCTGTCCTGCTTGATTTGTGTCTATTGTATTTGTGTTTAGGTGTGTGTGATTCTTTTTGTACACTCTACTCAGACTTACAGCAACAAAGAGCTCTTTGTGTGGCCGGGCTCTGCACAAAGGCTGAGCTGTGATTGGCTGAGAGCTCTGAGCTCACACGTGATTGGTCCGGCAGCTTTTACAGGAGTCAGATGGGGTTTGATGCTGAATTAAAACCAGTATGAGGTGCAAACACACACACACCTGCACACGCTCACTTTATCATCTCCAGAATGTCTGTCAGTGTACGAATAAACCAGCTAACCGTTATTCTTCTGTCTGGTGAGTTTAACTCCTGGTTGGTTAGGGTTAGTTGGAAATGCTAGTGTTTATCGTTTAGCCCATTCCCATTTATTTATTAATTTGTTAATTGACTGCAAATTAAAAAAGCAAACAAACAAAAAAGACAAATGGTGTCTTTATACTCTTACAAAACAGAATGGTGGTAGCATCATGGTATTACCTTGTCAAAAACACTATGTTAGTACCATGCCTGGCCACCATAAACACCCTCAATATACTGATTTTTTGTCAATCAATATAGGATTTTTTTTTTCAATTATAAAATTCTTAAAAGTCTTCAAAAAGGTACTTTGGCAGTACTTTGAAATATACTATAATACTAAACTTCACTCCAGGGTCTTTCCAAGTATACCATGGTATGGAATGGTGCATGTCCAACAAACCATGGTACTTTTTGGGGTGTTTTTGTAAGTGTAAAGACTCATCTCCAGAATGTCTGTCAGTGTACGAATAAACCAGCTAACCGTTATTCTTCTGTCTGGTGAGTTTAACTCCTGGTTGGTTAGGGTTAGTTGGAAATGCTAGTGTTTATCGTTTAGCCCATTCCCATTTATTTATTAATTTGTTTTAAGTTCAGCAACAGTATTTATATGCTTTCTCCGTTTTTTTTCATAATGTTCCGTACATATTTCCAATGTGAATGGAATAATTATTTAAGGGTTATATCATACGTTTTCACATTTTCTTTGAAATCCACTTATAATGTTAGTGAAGTTTTTTTGTGCCAAAACAATCATAATTGAGTTTTTCATGGTCTTTTTGTTGAAGCGTCTTAGTTTCTATAAATGCTGGTTTTGGAAAATTCAAGTTCTTAATGCTAGAGTCTGTTTTTATAGTGCAATTGGGTCTTTTACTCCTATGAAAATTGTATGAGTTTGCTGCCATTGTTTATGTGTACTTTAAATGTAAGCATGCAGCTTAAATGTTCAGTAAAATCCAGATGTTGGTCTTGTGTTTTCATCGGTCACATTTAAGGATTGTAGCACCTTCTTTCTGGTAGCTGTCAGTCACTGGTTAATATCCGGTCAGACTCCTCCCTCTGCCCACATCACCATGGCGATTCCCAAAATGTAACAATCTGCAGCACTGTGCAGTCTCAATGTTTGTTTTATGAGGTCAGAACTGAGGAAGCTGGAAAAAGTGTGTGCTTGTGCTTAATGACTCTCATAGTCCTTTCTGTCTTTCCCTAGTGCACCTCATTCCAACCAATCCGGTGGCAGAGCAAAGGTCACTTGGTAAAAGCAGAAAGCGTGTGAATCCGGTCCTCCACACGGATCCTCCTGCCCCAGACCCCATCCGAGACACTCACAAGCACTGCAATTACCCCAACCTCACTGAGCACGGCTGGGAGGGTAAGAAACCCACTCATTTCCCCTCTCACTCACCTGAAGACTCTCTGAGACGTGTGCTGATGTATTTGCGTGTGTCGTAGGTCACAGTCCGGCTGACTACAGGCTGCTGTCTGTACACCTGATGATTCGGCATGGAGACCGTTTCCCTCTGTACTCCATCCCCAAAACCAAGAAACCTGCCATAGACTGTATACTATCAGAAAAGAGGTACATATGTAAATCATCTGATGATGAACCCCATATTTGTAAACGAACATACAACTATCTATCCATCTATCTAGTCTGTCTTTCTACACTATATATCTATCTATCTATCTATCTATCTATCTATCTATCTATCTATCTATCTATCTATCTATCTATCTACAGTATCTATCTATCTCTTTATCTATCTGTCTGTCTGTCTATCTATCTGTGTCTGTCTTTCTACACTATCTATCTATCTATCTGTCTGTCTGTCTGTCTGTCTGTCTACAGTATCTATCTCTTTCTTCAGTATCTGTCTATCTATCTGTCTGTCTGTCTGTCTGTCTGTCTGCCTGTCTAGTCTGTCTTTCTACAGTGTCTATCTATCTATCTATCTATCTATCTATCTATCTACAGTATCTATCTATCTCTTTATCTATCTGTCTGTCTGTCTATCTATCTGTGTCTGTCTTTCTACACTATCTATCTATCTATCTGTCTGTCTGTCTGTCTGTCTACAGTATCTATCTCTTTCTTCAGTATCTGTCTATCTATCTGTCTGTCTGTCTGTCTGTCTGCCTGTCTAGTCTGTCTTTCTACAGTATCTATCTATCTATCTATCTATCTATCTATCTATCTGTCTGTCTGTCTGTCTGTCTGTCTGCCTGTCTAGTCTGTCTTTCTACAGTGTCTATCTATCTATCTATCTATCTATCTATCTATCTATCTATCTATCTATCTTTCTACAGTATCAGATCTATCTATCGCTCTTTCTACAGTATCTATCTGTCTGTCTGTCTGTCTAGTCTGTCTTGCTACAGTATCTATCTCTCTTTCTTCAGTATCTGTCTATCTATCTATCTGTCTGTCTGTCTAGTCTGTCTTTCTACAGTATCTATCTCTCTTTCTTCAGTATCTATCTGTCTAGTCTGTCTTTCTACAGTATCTATCTCTCTTTCTTCAGTATCTATCTGTCTAGTCTGTCTTTCTACAGTATCTATCTATCTACGTCTCTTTCTACAGTATCTGTCTATCTATCTATGTCTCTTTCTACAGTATCTATCTATCTGTCTGTCTGTCTGTCTGTCTGTCATATCTAATATATAATAAAATGACTGAAAAAGCACAATGCATCATTTTAAAATGCAGCTTGTTTTTTCAAGGAATCAAAACTGATTTGACTCATCCCTCACTGCAGAGGATTGCATTTTTCTTCTTTGAGCTTACAGCTGATAACCACCAGTGATTGGTGTGTAAATGTGGGATTATGTTTACGTGTTTAGTGTGTGTGTGTGCTTATCAGGGTTTGATGTTTGTCATAGGGCATGCAGTTTATGAATCATTATCAGATTAATATTTTATTCCCGTCGTCGTCTTTTATCCGTTCCTGAGCCGTGTCTCCGTGGTTACGGCAGCATTGAACAGTCACTGTAACACTACTGAAAATAACACTGTTGTGTTTCCATGGTTTCATTGTAGAGTTCTTACCAATGGCATGACAAATGCTTTTGTCCAGAGTATTCCCAGAATTATTAATCACGCACCGCATATCATAATATTCCCATGATGGCTGAGATTTATGTATTACAAAGTAATCCTCGACCACAAATCCTTCTGTCTCTTTCCCTTTAAAATGCTCTGGTTCTTCACATACACTCAAATATGCTTACCTTACCATCTAAATACAGACGTACCCTTAGAGGTCAGATGATTCCGATTAACTCTGTGACCTGACCCAACCGGACTGTTATGATCTGATGGGCTCTGACTCAAAAATGAAGATGCATTATAATAAAATACAGTGATCTGACATCCCTTGTTCTCAGAAATCTCTGTGTGTTTAAAACTGCCTGCAAAGGGAAATAATACCCAGTTTGTTCGATATAGTTGTTACTTTCCAGTTTTGATCCTTAGTTGCATTAGACCTGCATTAATTCCATGCAGTAATTATTTATATGATGCATGTTTCATGTAATTGTAGTTCTGTTATGTATCAATTCAGTGTAGTAAATACTGTATCAGTGCACTTGCATTGTTTTTGGCACATGCTGCTGTCATCTTCTAATGATGAGCATTCGTTTTCAGGAACAAAGCAGGTAGCAGACCTGTGCCCTTGACTTTTATTGGGTTTTTAAAAAAAAAGTTAAATATTTTACTACAGACTAACCCAAAATGTAGTTCTAAAATCAAGTATTTGCGGTTTTATAATTGATAAAAAGGCTAAGGCATGCTTCTCTCTTCTGGATATGTCTAGTAATGACATGCTCACATTGCTCCTCAGAGTTATGTGTTGGCCTACTGTGTTGTTTTGATTGGTAGAGTCTCACAAATGTATCGCATCAAAATTATTTCTGATTTAAAATCAGTTCTAAAACACATTTTTTGTTGTTGTAATTTTGCAGAAAGCCTTCTCACCCCATCTTGGCCTCCTTCATTAGTCACATGGCTCTCAGTGGGCGTGGTCACTGGGACACATCACTGGGATCTCTGCCCAGATTACCCAATCACAGCACCTGTGAAATGGGGGAGCTCACACAGACAGGTAACCAATCGCAGTGCACAGCAATAGAATATTTCTATATATACTGTATGTATATTAAAAAAATTAATATAAACAAACTTAATTACAAATTGAGTTATTTATTGTTTTATTCTAGGTGTGAAACTGGGTTGTTTTCATTAACTACTTGAAGTAAAATACATATTAACGCAAATACAATAAAATATACTTATTTTATTTTAGTTAGTTAACTTTAGTTAAAGTCGAAGAACTAAACTAACAAACTAAATCTGAAATAAAAATTTATTAAAAAGAACTACTTAAAATTAAAATGACAAAAACACAACAAATTTACTAAAACTTAGAATAAAAAAATAAAAACAAATTCAAAATATTAACTATTACAGTATATCAATGATAATAAAATAACCTTCATAAAATAACATTATTCTGCATTCTTACTAACATTTCTTTTTCTTTTTTCTCTTAATAAGGAGTCGTACAGCATTTGAAAAACGGCGAACATCTTCGCCAGGCTTACATCAAGCGTCACAATCTGCTTACTGCTGATTGGTCGCCGCGGCAGTTGTGGGTGGAGACTACAGGTAAGAGCCGCACCCTTCAGAGTGGATTGGCCTTCCTCTTCGGTTTCCTGCCACATTTCGATTGGTCACGGCTGACGGTAAAACTGCAGTGGAGTACGCTGTTCTGCGGTTCCTCGTGCGAATGCCCCGCACGCAACCGGTACCTGGACCAGGAGCAGCGCAGGCAGTATCGGCAGAGGACTGCAGACACGGAACTGGAAAGCACGTATGTCGCCATGGCGAAGACGTTGGGCGTGGCCACAAAGAAACTGAGGGCGGCCAATCCTGTGGATGCGTTGTTGTGTCACTTTTGTCACGGTCTTCCTTTTCCATGCTCTAGCACTCAGACTACATCAAACGCTCCGGATGAGGGGGCGTGTCTTACACTACAGCACTTTGCTGTGATTCGACGGCAGCAGAAAAATGATGAACTGGAGCGGCGGGAGGCGGGGCTTTACCGCCGATATGCTGTGCTCGCGGCACATCCGTACCTCAACCGTACCGCAACGCGGATGGAGAGGATTGCCAGAGGAAGCCAAACGCGCAAAGGCAAGGAAGAGGCAGTCTTCTCTTTAGCATCTGCTCATGACGTAACAATGGCACCGTTGCTAAGCGCCCTTGGTCTGGAAGGGGCGGGATTTCCAAAGTTTGCAGCGCGGCTGGTGTTTGAGCTGTGGAACAGCCCGGAAGTGAAAGACAAAGACAGAAAGACTGATAGAAAACGAGGAAAGTGGTTGGAAAATATGTTCATTCGTGTTCTCTATAACGGAGAGGACTTGACCTTTGACACAGCCTTCTGCCGTGACCACAATCGACACTCTGCTCAGCCGCTGTGCCCTCTGGGTAATTTCCTGTCTTTTGTGAGAAACGATATGTTTAATATTGTCAATGCGACGAGTTACCAGCAGGCCTGCCACCAAATTGTACTGTAATTGTGACCATGAATGACTGACATAGAGCAAACGTCAAGGAAGGATGAGGAACGGGTATAGTTTACCCAAATATTCTGTACAGTTCTGTCATTATTTTTAGTCCCTTTATGACATTCCAAACCCATATGACTTTTTCATGGAATGCAACTGACAAAACTGTGATGAATATTCAATGAATGCAAGACTTACAAGCTGAAAAAGCTCCCTAAAAGTCCATACGACTTCTGCACTATATTCCAAGGAGTTTCCAGGTGCTTGTCACTGAATGCTTTCATCAAGAGCAGCAAACTTTCATCAAGAGCAGTGTTACGTCTAAGACGTATTGTATGCTGTGGATGTGTTGCTGTTGTCTCCTCTCTACCAGGATTTGTTCAAGGCTTAATGAGAGACTGCTGGTGGGTGGACCAGAGACGAGACCTGTACTGTAAATTCCCCCGGATCTCACTGGAGGGCGTTCTCACTCTTGCTCTCACTCTTGCTGCTCGCTATGATCATTGCTCTGTATGTCTCTCTTTGATTGCTCTGGTGTTAAAACTGTGTGTTAAGTTGTAGTGAAAATGCTGTGAGATCTCAAGTCTATATTCTAACGGAGTGCTGTTAGCTCCATGTGTTGTGAGAGCCTTATGTCTTTAACTTCAATGTTCCACTGTTCATGTTTGTAAGCCGTAGGGGGTGAGTGCCTTATTTGTTTTTTATAGGCCACTTGGCCATTATCCTTTTCTCCTGTTTTTGGGGTAGACAAGGAGTGAGGTTAGATCTGTTGTATTTTGGTTTCTTTATTTTGATTCCCAGGGAAGTTAGTTTCTTCATGGGAAGTTAGAGTGCTGTTTGTTTATTGTTCTGGGCATTTGCTCACCCCTGATAATCTGCCTCATTTTCTTTAATTTGTTTATTTCTTTGTGATGATATTGTTTGTACTCTCCAAAACTGCTACCGCACGAAAAATCGATCAAAGAGAATTAAAATGAGTACTTAAACAGCCATTCATTGTTGTGTCGTTTATGTTGCTAGACCAGGGTCGTAACAAGCAGCAAAGTTTGAAATGACATGAAGGTGAAAGAATTATGACAGAATTTTGGGTGAACTGTTCCTTTAAGACTGAGTACTACTAATGTTATTGATGTAGTGTTACGTGTGTGGACCAAATAATTGTCCCTGCACAACATTGTTTTTGGTACACTTTACTAATCACACTGACAAAATTTGAAGTTGTTTACAGTAATCATTTTAAGCTGTGGGCTGTGACTGAATGTCTGATTGACGTTGTGACGTGATGTCAAGAACCCTTCAAGAGCACACAAACAGTCAACTGTTGAAACACCTCTTGCCTTCATTCTGAGTCAGTGAGTCAGTGAGGCTGCACAGTCATTATGACAATCCCAGTGGTTTTGCTAAATATAAAAAAAAATGTCATTTTTAGACCACAAGACCACATCATTTGTATTAGATTTAGGGCACTTCGCCACTTTATTGCAGAGTTCCTGCAGTGATCGGGAATCTGATGTTATTTCAGTTTCACATCTCTTCCATTGGATTTCCCGGATAAGTTCCTATTTGAATAGTATTAGCAAAATGTCTAGCGCAATCATGTTGTCCTGACCCTTTCCTCACATTGTGTGTGCTTTACATTTCTTTTAGTGATTTCCCTTTGTTTACATATAAAGTAAAGTTTAAAACAGTGGTAGTATTTTTTTTTTTGAGTACTGTAAAACTGATTCAATCAACTTTTGTATCATGAATGGTGTTCTTGTGATCAGTCTGTACTGCCACATTCCAAACCTCAAAACACATGTTTCAATAAAAGTATCATTTTGTCTAAGATCTTCACTGTGGTTTGTCTGGAAATGCACATCATTTTGACTTTCAGCCACTTTGTAGCCCAATCAGTCAAACTTAGACAAGAACTAGTCTACATTTTTATGTTTCATATGATTGCCACTAGGTGGCAGGAGAGCTTCATCGGTGGCTCAGAGTAAGAATCCAATCAAGTGACCTCAGGTTGAGTCAGCATTATAGAAATAGAACAAACATCAGTTCAGTGGTCAGCATTATACATACACTAAATGCAGAAAGCCTCTTTGGCTTGGAGTCATTATTGTTAAATATGAGATTGCAAATCATGCTGACTAGTTTTTAGCCTGGCCTGTCGAATAACTCCATCACAACAGCCAAAAATCTGTCCAGAAGTAATCTCCAGAATTTCCCCAGGAGTGTGTATTGGGATGTAAGTAAAGGAATCTGAGGCCCTCTGATCTCTACGAGATGATTTTAATTAGCCGCTGCCTTCCTCGCCAAAGAAAAGCTCATTCATTTACTGACTTGGACAGAGAAATCAATCTTAATTAAAGAGAGTTAGCGTGTGTGTTTCAGATGGTATTTGTGTGCCTGCGAGTGTTTAGAGAGAAATAAAATTAATTTAGCAAATTAAGCATGATACAGAAATTATTAGCAGCTTCAAGATAACACACTCAAGACTTTCTTTTGCGTAATTCTACTTTTGCAATTATGCAAAACATGGCTTGCTTATTTCTATAAAAAAAAAGCGAAGAACTGACCCATTTGGAGATCTCCAGAGAGTGATAAACGGTAATCACACCAAGTATATACAGTACCAAAGTTCCTTACTAAACAGTGCTGGGCAGTAACTGATTACATGTAATCTGGATTATGTAATCAGATTCCAAAAATTAAGTACTTGTAATTAGATTATATTACGTTTTAAAATACTCGTAATCAGACTACAGTTACTTTTTATTGATTATATGATTACATATTACACATTATTCACACAATGTTTCAGAATTTATTGATTCTTCCTAATTGTTCTTTTTAATCTAAAATAGCGCACCACTTATTCACACAAAGATCAGTCAGGTGGCTATAATTACACAGAAAATTGTAACGCCACACAGCACTGGATTTATGAACATCTGCATGTTCACTGTTTTCTGAAGTTGGTTAATGATCACATGACAAACTTACAAACCCCCTGCAATTCTTTCACGAAGCCCAGTTTGGGAAACCTAATGTAATGCAATGTAAAGTTTACTGCACTTTATGTTGTTAATAACAACAAATGTAATATATTTGCTTTCTCTTTGTATTTTTATAGCAGTATGGTACAAGATTATCTTATTTAAATCAATGTGATAAACGAGTTAGGTCAAAAGGAATCTGAAAGTAATCCAAAAGTAGTCCGATTATATTACCTAAAATGTGTAATGTAATGGATTATTGGAATTTGTGTCATGTAATTTGGAATCAGTAACGGACTACAATTTTTATCCTTTTCTCCTGTTTTTGGGGTAGACAAGGAGTGAGGTTAGATCTGTTGTATTTTGGTTTCTTTATTTTGATTCCCAGGGAAGTTAGTTTCTTCATGGGAAGTTAGAGTGCTGTTTGTTTATTGTTCTGGGCATTTGCTCACCCCTGATAATCTGCCTCATTTTCTTTAATTTGTTTATTTCTTTGTGATGATATTGTTTGTACTCTCCAAAACTGCTACCGCACGAAAAATCGATCAAAGAGAATTAAAATGAGTACTTAAACAGCCATTCATTGTTGTGTCGTTTATGTTGCTAGACCAGGGTCGTAACAAGCAGCAAAGTTTGAAATGACATGAAGGTGAAAGAATTATGACAGAATTTTGGGTGAACTGTTCCTTTAAGACTGAGTACTACTAATGTTATTGATGTAGTGTTACGTGTGTGGACCAAATAATTGTCCCTGCACAACATTGTTTTTGGTACACTTTACTAATCACACTGACAAAATTTGAAGTTGTTTACAGTAATCATTTTAAGCTGTGGGCTGTGACTGAATGTCTGATTGACGTTGTGACGTGATGTCAAGAACCCTTCAAGAGCACACAAATAGTCAACTGTTGAAACACCTCTTGCCTTCATTCTGAGTCAGTGAGTTAGGAATGCTGCACAGTCATTATGACAATCCCAGTGGTTTTGCTAAATATAAAAAAAAATGTCATTTTTAGACCACATTTATTAAACATTTGTATTAGATTTAGGGCACTTCGCCACTTTATTGCAGAGTTCCTGCAGTGATCGGGAATCTGATGTTATTTCAGTTTCACATCTCTTCCATTGGATTTCCCGGATAAGTTCCTATTTGAATAGTATTAGCAAAATGTCTAGCGCAATCATGTTGTCCTGACCCTTTCCTCACATTGTGTGTGCTTTACATTTCTTTTAGTGATTTCCCTTTGTTTACATATAAAGTAAAGTTTAAAACAGTGGTAGTATTTTTTTTTTTGAGTACTGTAAAACTGATTCAATCAACTTTTGTATCATGAATGGTGTTCTTGTGATCAGTCTGTACTGCCACATTCCAAACCTCAAAACACATGTTTCAATAAAAGTATCATTTTGTCTAAGATCTTCACTGTGGTTTGTCTGGAAATGCACATCATTTTGACTTTCAGCCACTTTGTAGCCCAATCAGTCAAACTTAGACAAGAACTAGTCTACATTTTTATGTTTCATATGATTGCCACTAGGTGGCAGGAGAGCTTCATCGGTGGCTCAGAGTAAGAATCCAATCAAGTGACCTCAGGTTGAGTCAGCATTATAGAAATAGAACAAACATCAGTTCAGTGGTCAGCATTATACATACACTAAATGCAGAAAGCCTCTTTGGCTTGGAGTCATTATTGTTAAATATGAGATTGCAAATCATGCTGACTAGTTTTTAGCCTGGCCTGTCGAATAACTCCATCACAACAGCCAAAAATCTGTCCAGAAGTAATCTCCAGAATTTCCCCAGGAGTGTGTATTGGGATGTAAGTAAAGGAATCTGAGGCCCTCTGATCTCTACGAGATGATTTTAATTAGCCGCTGCCTTCCTCGCCAAAGAAAAGCTCATTCATTTACTGACTTGGACAGAGAAATCAATCTTAATTAAAGAGAGTTAGCGTGTGTGTTTCAGATGGTATTTGTGTGCCTGCGAGTGTTTAGAGAGAAATAAAATTAATTTAGCAAATTAAGCATGATACAGAAATTATTAGCAGCTTCAAGATAACACACTCAAGACTTTCTTTTGCGTAATTCTACTTTTGCAATTATGCAAAACATGGCTTGCTTATTTCTATAAAAAAAAAGCGAAGAACTGACCCATTTGGAGATCTCCAGAGAGTGATAAACGGTAATCACACCAAGTATATACAGTACCAAAGTTCCTT